TGTGTGTGTGTGTGTGTGTGTGTGTGTATGGCAGTCAAAGGACAATTTGAGAGAGTCAGTTCTCTTCTTCTACCATGTGGGTCCTGGGGATTGAACTCAGGTTGCCAGACTCGGTAGTAAGTGCCTTTACCTACTGAACCATCTCACCAGCCCTGGGGAACAGTTTTGAAGGGGCTGCCCAGGTCATACCACAACAGATTTGCTGGCCCTGGTACAAGATACCTGTGATAATCCTTCCAGCCTTTGCCTGTACTTAGGGGGCAGGTTAGGGGTGTGTTCATGGGCTAACCTGGCCTCATCCTGGGAACCTGTTTTGGGGGAGGCAACCACATGTATTCACAACAAGGCTGGGCTGGGTGAGGGCCTGGAGATCAGAGCCAGCAGAGGCCTGGATCTGACCCCTCACCCCAGGTTCCCAGAGCTGCCCTGGGAAACCCCTCTGAGGCAGCCTTCCCTGCCCACAACACAAATCCCCCTGCCCACTGCCAGGGCAGGAAGCGGAAGTGGGCCTGGTCAGGGTTGGCTGCAGTCCCTGGGGCTGAGCAGGGGAAGCTCCTGGGGCCACTTCTCAGTGGGAGGAAGCAAAGCTTACTCCTTCTGCCCACCCCATGGGAAGAGTGTGGAGGTTGTGGGTGGGGACAGTCTTGGTGAAAGTGGGGCAAGTTCCTGCCCTCCACTCAGCAGGGTGGGGCCCAGCTCAAGGGGCATCGTGGGAAAGGGCTGTGTGAGTTCACTTCCCTCATTCCCTGCTTGCCCAACTCTGCTGAGGAATGACTGTGGACATTGCAGCCTAGGCTACTTACTGTTGAAGAAGCAGAAAAGGCCCTCCTGCGAGGAGAGGAAACAATACCCTCAGTTGCTTACACACTGGTGGGGATTGGATCTGAGCAGGAGTCCCTGAGGTCCCTATTTCAATGTCTGACTGTCTCACCCACCCTTGCTCTCTCTTGAGACAGAGTCTCAATATATAGACCCAGTTGCCCTTGAACTTTTGGTGATCCTGCCCGAGTGCTAGGATTACAGGTTCTAAAGTCATGTTGCAGCCCCTCCTAACTCTTGTGCTCTGAGTAACTGTTGATAGAACAAATGTATAATGAGAAACAGCCACTCTGATTTCAGAAGCACATACTTGAATGAACTTGAACTCAGACAAGTCCAGCTGTATCTGCATCCACTTAAATAAACATGTCTCTTCCATTTGGGTGTGGCTACTTTTTAAATAAGGTTGTTTTTTTTTTTTTTTTTTGGAGGGGGTATAACATACATAGAGAAAAGTATATACATCATAGTGTAAAATCTCTGGAGTACAGTTTGATAACTTCTCTAGAGTGAACACACTTGTGACTCCATCATTTAAATGGGGAACTGGAATGGTTCCAGTTCCACCAAAGACTCCCTCAGAGGCACCTACAACAGGCTGCAGGCATGCCTGCTTTTGTGGTGTACACATAGGAGTTGGAGATCATGGGGTCAGAAGCCACAGCCTCCGCAAGCCAGAGTCAAGGCAGAGGGGTCAGCACGAAATGGGAGTTTCTCTGCTTCCTTCTTTGTAAAATGCAGGTTGTTATTTCAAGCCTGAATGGGGTGAGGAGAGGGTTGCATGGAAGAGACCAAGTGAGGTGTCCTGGCCCACAGTCTGACCCTGGGTTGGCATCTTGCTTCTGTACTACGTCCCCACACCAGTAAGAAAGGGCTTATTAGGAGTTGGGTGGCCTAGGAGCGAAGTCTGCAAGAACAGTCAGGATTCCAGCAGAGAGGAGGAATGTGTGCCCGTGGCTCAGATAGCATGTTCAGAATGGTTGGTACCAGGAATTAGATCAAGGACCTTTTCTGGGGCCAGGTGATGAGGCACATTGGTAGGTTGGGCCATGACTGGATAGCACTGGTTTGTGTCTCCAACATGCCACCTCTTCTCCCTGACCCTCCTGTGTCATCAGGTGCTTATCTCTCCTTTGGATACCAGTTCCATCATTACATTTCCCCTCTCCCTACTCCCAGTGAACAGGTTTGAGTCTTGAAGGCAGGACTTGGGGGTCTATGGCGTTTCTGTCTAGTCCGGGACCAGCTTTTGCCCCAGGCCTCCCAAAGCCTGCATAGGTTATGCCTCATTTGCACCCTACAGAGCCCCGGGCCACCACCCTCTTTGGGCAGTCTCTGACCAGCAGGGATGAAGTTGGGATCCCTAAGTCCTTTTGTCCTCTTTTTTCCCTCTATGTAGTCTCAGTGTTCCAGCTCTAGTACCTGCATTGGTGACCCTGGCTATGTTCCCATAGGATTCTTCTCTTTATTAAGAATACTTGAATGGCTTGAGTGTCGTATGTTTAGACCCTCTGGCATCGGGCCTCCAAAAGCATAGCCAGGTGCCAGCTGCAGTTCCTCATCCTCCTCTAACTTCCGGGCAGCAAGGTGGTGGCTTCCACAGCATGCAATGGCTTAAGGAGGTTGGCCTGAGTGCAGATAATAGGACTCTGAGGTTTAGAACAGGGACCTAAGACAGCTGCTTTCTACAGTGAGCTCCCTGGGCCTTACTCCACATGGGCCTACCCTACAGGATGGTCTGTGCCAGTCTGTCCAAAGGCAGACTGATGGGGAGGGAGGAGTATGCTAGAGCTCAGGACTGAACTAAGACGGGCTTCAGCACAGACTGGTGAAGACTGGACAGTTCACCTGCTTTGCTGGAGGGAACAGGCTTGGCTTATTTTTATGGCATATTAAAATCATTTTGGGGGTAAAGGGGGGCATCCAGGGCTGAGTGGAAGAATGAGGTGAGGAGCCAGATGTGACACATCTGGGGCCAGGCTTGGTGTGTACACCAGAGCAAATGTGCTCTTGGAACCCTTGAGTCCTGTTTTCAGGCAGGGAGGACTTGGATGCTAGTAGTGGTGTCTAACCCCTCAAATAAAAACCTAAGGAAAATCTAGTGTAAATTCCAAGAAAAAGAACCCACTTTGGCTGAGATGCTGTGAAGAACTGGGATGGTTTCAATTGGCACCATCCTGTCCATACTTCAACTTCCCCCAGGTGCCCTTTAAGTTCTTTGGAAGGTGGCTTGGGAAAGTCCAGCGCTGTGGACTGCTCAACCATGTCAAGACTGCACAGTGGCTGGGGGGCTCTGGCAACTTCTGACCAGATCATTGGATGACATCAGCATCATACAAAGGCTGCTCCATCTGTGGGGGACAGCAAGGGTTTAGAAAGAAGTGACAGGTTGGGGATGGACCCCAGGTCACAGTTGCTAGGCAAGCACTCTACCACTGAACTATAAACCTTGCCCCAGGTTTTCAGTGGGCATAGCCCAGAAAGGGAGGTCATTGGGTACAACCAGTTAGTCTGCTGCAGCAGTGGGCTGGCATTGGCTGTGGCTGGAGGCAGAAATGGGGGATGACAGGTATTTCAAAGAGAATCCCAGACAGGCAAGATATAAGATGAGCAGAGATGGCGTGACTGGATGGGAGTGCAGAGATAAACTATGGGAGGGATATTTGAGAAGCTAGTGGAACTTCTGGTGGGCAGAAGTGGGGACTGAGAAATTGTGGGAAACATGATGGGAGTTGAGAGTGGGGAGAGCCACGGATCCTAGGGGCAGAAGTGTCGGGGGGCCAGATGAGGTGAAAGCAGCTCAGTAACCTTGACCTACAGAGGAAAGGGGAATGGGAGGCGTCCCAGTAGGACCGGGCCCGCTCTTCTTGCCTGTGTTAGCCCGTTCTCCTTCCTCTCTTAACCTCGCTAGCAAGTGAGGGTTCCCAGAGTTGGGCATGGATGGGGCACATATTGTGCAGGATGACAGCTGGACCAGTAAAATCTCCAGGTGGATACAGCCCTGGCAGGCCCTTCCCTGCTACCAGGGGCCGGTGGTAACTGGTCAGAACCGCTCTCCATTGCTGCTGAAGGTGGGAGGGAGGGCGTGAAAAGAGCCCCTGGAGAAGCAGCACCCGGCGCTGGGTTCTATCCCACTGTACCATCACTTCCTTGTGTGACCTTGAGCAAATGCCATTATTTCCCTGAGCCTGTTTATTTATAAAATGGGGAAGAGTTGGCATGAGTTTGGAAAGATTTCTCAGACTCCGCCCGGTTCTGAAATTCGGTAATTTCTCAACTAGGGTGCATCCACCCTGAGAGAGGCTATAGGGAGGGAACTGGTGAGAAACTTTAAATCAAGTAAGGAGCAAAGCCCACTGGCCCAGAGTGGGCCTCGCAAACCCTTACCCTTCAGGAAGGGACTTCGAAAGCCAGATCGCTCATAGCTAGCTAGGAGCGAATAAAACCAGGGTTCCAGCTGACTTCCTCGAGGCCAGAGACCCTGTTGGGTAAGACCCGTCAAAATGTGCAAACTTTGGCCGCGGGGAGGAGGAGTGGGGGGTGAGCGGGGAGGTAGTGCTCAGGCTCCCCATCCCTGGGGTGTGTCCTACAGTTGTCTGCCCAACGGCGGCAGAGGGCGACACCCCAGGCTACCAAGACAAGCTGGGGAGGGGGCAAAGGCGGGGCGGGGTCGGGTGAGCTGGAGGGAGCGGGCACGGCTGGCACGGAGCGGCGGGAGGGGAGGAGATCCTGCTTCGGGGAAGCCCTGCGGGCGAGGCTCTCAGCGCCCCCTCCTCCGGCCTGGCTCTCCGAGTCGGTTATTTCGGACCCCGGGAACAGGTCCCGAGTCTCGAGTCCAGCGCGGGGAGCCTAGTGGGTCTGGAAGCTGCTATTTTTAGCTAGAGCGGCGGGCGCGAGGAGACTATTTATAGATCAAACAATCCGCGCTCCTTGCGTCAATGGAACCCCGCGTGCGTCACGCGCGCAGACATTCCAGGCCCCCCCTCGCCCCGCCTCCTCGGGCTCCCCGCCTCCTCGGGCTCCCAGTCTCCTCGGGCTCCCAGTGCCCGCACCTCCCCTTGGCCGCCTCCTGCCGGAACCGCGCCGCCCCCCGCGCCCTTGTATGGCCAAAGCTCGCCGGGCCGCGTGCGTCAGTGGCGCCCCCGCCCCTCCCCGTGCGTCATGGAGCGCTTAAGAGGAGGGTCGGGCTCGCCTGGGGAGCCCCAGTGGAGGAGGCTGCGAAACTTGGGGGAGTGTGCGAGAAGGACTGCGGAGCGCACGCGGGACTGGACTGCGACTCGGGTGCTGGTCCCGGCTTAGGGGAGCAGGAGCCGGCCGGGTAGGTACCCAGCGGGCAATGTTTCTAGGGGTGGTGCATGGAGGAGATGGGTGTAGGCGCGGGCAGAAAGGATGTCTTGGGGTCGGCTTGCGTGAGGGGTGTGTAGAGTGCTGCTCTGGTGTTGAGAGTAGTGCATGGAACGGGATGAGGACCCAGATCCGAGTGGGGTCTTCTGGATTCGGGTTTGAGGTTGGGGGAGGGTGAAGGGTCTGCAAGGTGATTGGTGCTGACAGGTAGTGAGGACTTGCTTAGCCTATGTCTGGTCTTAGGGTGACCAACAAGGCACACGGTGTTCTGGACTTGCGAGCTGATTTGTTGGGGGGTTCTCTTCCGGAGCTTTGGGCTTGGGAGCCAGGCTGTCAGCCCCTCTCTCTAGTTGTTTTCTTAACACTTTACAGGCTGTAGTTAAATGTTCAGAGATTCCCTTACTGAACTTGACTGCCGGGAGACCTGGCGATTATTGAAGGAAATGGTTAGGTTGGCTGATGTTGAAGTAAGTCTTGTCAGGGTCTATCAGGAAGCATAAGGATTGGTTTTGCTGTAGCCTGGTGCCATGGGGGTGGGGGTGGGGAGGCGGCACGTGGAGCCCTGGGTAGAAGTTTCTCATGCTGGAGTCTTAGTGTGGTACAGACATCTCCCACCATTTCAGCCCCACTTGCAGATCACCTCTATGCCCTCTCAGCTAATGGTCCTTGTCAAGTAGGGTGCAGCCTGAGGCTTGTTCACCTAACAGGTGCAAGCCACATTGTTGCCAGGACCTGCCCCAAGCCGGATTCTCCCACTCCCTCCTTCAACTCCGCCTCTTCTTCCTCCCCCCCCCACCCCTTGGGACTGCCCCTCCCCCATCCCCATGAAGCCAGATACAGGTCTGTATCTTGTGTTGCTGATTCTCTGCCTGAAAGGGGGAGGGGGGAGAGGTAGACTGGTAGGGGTTGATCCGGATGTGGGATGTCCAAGTGGAGAAACAGGATTTGAATAAGGCTGGAATAAATACCCAGTCCTGAGTGGCTGCCACCCTTCCTCCACCCCCCAACCCATTCCTGCCCGGGCTGCCTTCATGCAGGCAGAGGCAGAAGTGGCCACCTTTATCTGCTGCAGGTGCTGTATGCCTGAGGGCAGTGCCATGGGGCCGGTAGGGCTAAAGCTTGAGGGGCTTAGTTGTCTGGGAAGTTGTGTATCAAGCTAGGGGTGGAGCTGGCCTGTCCAGGACCCTGGTGGGAGAAATCCTAGAACTAAAGGGCTTCATGGCTCTTTGGCCAGCAAGTAGTTGACAGCCTTTGCCCCATTACTGTATCTCTGGGTCATGGTACTCTGTGCTCCAGTTTGATTTCCTATACGGCTTGCTTTCCTGAGTAGGACCCTTAGAACTATGCAGTCCCCAGATTTGGAGTTAGGGAAGGACAGTGGGTCCTCTCTTGCAGGAATTTCGACGCCTGAATGGGACTATCTCTGATCCTTCAGGCCTGGGGGGCAGAGGTAGTGGTGGACTGTGATCTTCTTTGCTGAACCCCTGGATATTTCAGGGCACAGACATCTGTTTTAGTGAAGGGACCCAAGCAGGGACAGATTGTCTTCCATGCACCAAACAATAGGTTTCTATGCACTTCTGGACTCTGGGTGTTTATTTTGTTCTGTTTTTTGGGCTTCTGAGACAAGGTCTCCCTGTAGCCACAGCTGGCTTCAAACTCAGAGATCGGCCTGTCTCTGCCTCCCGAGTGCTGGGATTAAAGGTGTGCGCCCAACCCTGGGTGTTTTTTTTTTTTTTTTTTTTTTTTAAATAAAAGTGATGTGGTAACTGAGAAATTGCTTTTGAGAACTGTCCTTTCTCCTGACTGTCCTAAGTGTCTGTTCTTTAGACATTCTTGCTCAGCAACTCACCTCCTTCCAGTATCTAGTATTTAAGGCTGTTACTGGATCCCCTGGGGAGCTGGGGACAGTGAAGAGGCCTAGGTTCCTTCCTGCCTCCTACCCTCTACCCCTGCTCCTAGAAACATCAAAGGCAGTAGCGAGTGGGTGCATAGCCGCGGATGGCAGGACTGGAGTACCTGTGAGATCTGCTGTCCCTGCACAGCATATGGGGTAGAAGTGAGGCTAGACCTGGTGCTGCCCTAGTAGATAGGAAGATGAGCCTCAGCCCCAGCTCCTCTTCCATCTCCAGGGTATCTGTCTCCACAGCCACTGTTGGGAGGTGAGGAAGGGGTACACAGAGATGTGTCTGGGAATATTCCCAGGAAGTGCCTGGTTGAAGAATCAGTGAATTTGCTTCTAGGGGCTGGGCTAAGGCTCTGAAGGCTGCCTCCCCCAACCCCCCACCAGTGGAGGGGGAGGCCTGGTGGGGAGGGGGGATTGGGAGAACACAGCTTCCCCCTGTTCCACCAGGGAAATGCTGGCTGGCTGCCTTCCCTAGGGTTCCCAGACCCACACTAGGGTGTGGCTGGCCTTTTAACTGAGCCCACTCAGGCTGGGCCACTGCCTATGAGCTTTGTGGCTATAGACTGAGATAGTGCTTGGGTCAGAAGTCAGGATTCCTAGGTTCTATGGCCCTGACCATCTTGCTCATCTAGGCTTGCCCCAGCTGCCCTGTGTCTACCAGGCCTGTGGCTTCTCTCATTGACTCCTCCCCTTCCCTTTGTCTGGTCTCCTCCTTCTCCAGAGATGCCCTGTATCCAAGCCCAATATGGGACAACAGCACCGAGCCCAGGACCGCATGACCACCTGGCAAGTGACCCCCTGACCCCTGAGTTCAGCAAGCCTACCATGGACCTGGCCAGCCCTGAGGCAGCCCCTGCTGCCCCCACTACCCTACCTAGCTTCAGCACCTTCATGGACAGTTACACTGGAGAGTTTGACACCTTTCTTTACCAGCTGCCGGGGACAACCCAGCCATGCTCTTCCACCTCTTCCTCAGCCTCCTCCACGTCCTCTTCCTCATCTTCAGCCACCTCTCCTGCCTCTGCTTCCTTCAAGTTCGAGGACTTCCAGGTGTACGGGTGCTATCCTGGCACCCTGAATGGCCCACTGGATGAGACTTTGTCCTCCAGTGGCTCTGATTACTATGGCAGCCCCTGCTCAGCCCCCTCACCATCCACACCCAGCTTCCAGCACCCCCAGCTCTCTCCTTGGGATGGCTCATTTGGCCACTTCTCCCCAAATCAGACTTATGAAGGCCTACGGGCATGGACAGAGCAGCTGCCCAAGGCTTCTGGGCCCCCACCACCTCCAGCCTTCTTTTCCTTCAGTCCCCCAACCGGTCCCAGCCCCAGCTTGGCCCAGAGTTCCCTGAAGTTGTTCCCATCTCCAGCCACCCACCAGCTGGGGGAGGGAGAAAGCTATTCCATGCCAGCAGCTTTCCCAGGTTTGGCACCCACTTCCCCGCACCTCGACACTTCCGGGATCCTGGATGCACCCATGACCTCCACCAGGGCCCGGAGTGGGGCTTCAGGTGGCAATGAGGGCCGCTGTGCTGTATGTGGGGACAACGCTTCATGCCAGCATTATGGGGTCCGCACCTGTGAGGGCTGCAAGGGTTTCTTCAAGGTATGTTGCTATTCTGGATGCTCGTTTCCTGGCAGACTGGTTACATTATGTTGGGGTCTCTGGTAGCCTCCATTGGGGTCTCTTCCCAGCTAGTTCTATCCCATAGGAAGGGGACAGGTATGCTACCTTTCTAGGGGTCTGTTGATTCAGGGTCTGGGAACCTTCATTCACATGAGCCCATGGGGCTGTAGAAAGTCCAGGGAGGGGGCAGAGTGTGGCCTGAAGTAGTGTTTCAGGAACAGAAGTTCTAGTGGGCAGCCTCTGGTTCTGTCCTGCCAGCATCCCCCTTCTCCCCCCTCCCCCAAAGTCCTGGTAGGAAGGGGGCCACAGGCACTCGTGTTCCTGGCATGGGATGAAAGGATCTGGGCAGAGGGTTTGGTTCTTGTAGGCTGGGGGTGGACTTGGGAACAGGCTGTGTGTTTGTCCCAGTGCTGGGTGCCTGCTTGGCTTCCCATCCCCACCTCCCAACCCCTCAGCTCTCTTGTCTCTGCCCCAGAAAAGGGCAGGTGGACACAGGCAGACACCTGTTAAGAAGAACAGGTGTCTGAACTGACCAGGAGTTTCTAGCCCCTAGTCTTGGGTCCTGGGGTCTTCCTCTTGAGGCAGAAACCTCCTCCAATGTCTCCCAGACTTTTTTCTCCCCCCTCTGCCCCTCCATTTCTCCCTCCCCTACCACCCAAATGTTAGGAAAATAGTTATGAACAGAGAGTGCTTTTGTCTGCATCGGCAGCAGGATCTGGATGGTCTCCTCCCCTGGGCTTCCCCCTCCCCAACCCATGCTCTGACAGCCTGTTCCGTGTTGTCCCCCCTCCAGCGCACAGTGCAGAAAAGTGCCAAGTACATCTGCCTGGCAAACAAGGACTGCCCTGTGGACAAGAGACGACGGAACCGCTGCCAGTTCTGCCGCTTCCAGAAGTGCCTGGCTGTGGGCATGGTGAAGGAAGGTGGGTGTCAGGATGAGGCCCATAGGCAACCTGAGGGGGTGGGGCAAGGAGGGGTCCCCAGGCATCTGCACCCCATCTTCACTTCTACTTCTAGACCCCAGACCCTAAGGTTTACAGCTTCTAGCTGCCTGGCCGATGAGGGTGTGGTGGAGGAGGGTCTTGTGCTCTGGGGTCCTGACTGAAGGCCCCTTCGTTCCTTCCTCACCACCACCCATTTTTCTGCAGTTGTTCGGACAGACAGTCTGAAGGGGCGGCGGGGCCGGCTACCTTCAAAACCGAAGCAGCCCCCAGATGCCTCTCCTGCCAATCTCCTCACTTCCCTAGTCCGGGCACACCTGGACTCAGGGCCTAGCACTGCCAAGCTGGACTACTCAAAGGTGAGGTCCTGCCTACCCACCCTGGGAATACATGCAGTGCCTTCGTGTATGTAAGGAAAGGCACCCCTTTCAGGGCAACACATCAGAAAACACGGAGCCTTCCTGCACTGACCAGTTGAAGAAATGCCCACCGGGGTGGGGCACATCACATTACAAACAGCTGCCGCAGCCCTGGGTTGCTATTTGAGAACTGACAGGCCCATTTGCACTCCTGGATTTGCTGTCCCAGTGCATGTGGTGGCTGCTGTGGACCCAGCTTGTGGTGCTCACGCCCTGGTGCCCCCTCCAGTTCCAGGAGCTGGTGCTGCCCCACTTTGGGAAGGAAGATGCTGGTGATGTGCAGCAGTTCTATGACTTGCTCTCTGGTTCCTTGGATGTTATCCGCAAGTGGGCTGAGAAGATTCCTGGCTTTGCTGAGCTTTGCCCAGGAGACCAAGACCTGCTGCTGGAGTCGGCCTTTCTGGAGCTTTTCATCCTCCGCTTGGCCTACCGGTGAGTTGCCCACCGTTATCCTGGCCCTACCCATGCTACGCCAGTTGGCAAGCACCCTGAGTCCTAACTGCTGTTTGCCCCTTCCTGCCAGGTCTAAGCCCGGCGAGGGGAAACTCATCTTTTGCTCGGGCCTGGTGCTACATCGCCTGCAGTGTGCCCGTGGTTTTGGTGATTGGATTGACAGTATCCTGGCCTTCTCGAGGTCCCTGCATAGCTTGGTGGTTGATGTCCCTGCCTTCGCCTGCCTCTCTGCTCTGGTCCTCATTACTGGTGAGTGTCTGTTATGAGGCTGGGCCCAAGGGTTATAAAGTGGGATGGGTGGCATCTTGTATGTTGGGAGCCCTAGAGTGCCTGTAACATGAGGATATCAGGAACTGCCAAGAGGCTCAGCTGCATTCAACTCCAAAGCCCAAGCCAGCCTTTGAATGACCACAGACCACCCCCCCCGCCCAAAATATGACTGCAGGTGGCAGGCATTTGTTTTGAAAACTCCCTGTCAGTCACATGGCACGTGATGAATTTTCACACGCCGCACTAGTGTAGCCAGCACTATGGTCAAGAAGCACAGGACCAGCCCCAGGAACCCTCCATCTGGCTCCCTCCCACGACTGTCTGTGCAGGAGGCAACCACGGCTCTGCTGCACCCTCTGCCAGCCTCGCTGGCTGCGCTTGTTACGGTAGTTATATGTGGGTAGGACGGGCTCTGGTGTTAAATGGAGAGCTTTCAGATCTCTTCTGCCCCTGCCCTTTTTTTCCCTTAAATATCTCAGGGGCTACACCTTTATAGAAGAAACTCAGGAGCTCTGAACCCAGCTCTCCCTGATAGTGGTCCCAGCCTGGCCAGAAAACCTGGGTTAGGGTTTTATTTCATTGGTGTGAGCTTGGGCAAGTCATTCAAGCTCTCTGGGCCTCAGTCTCTCCCTTGGAATGTTGAGGACAGTGCCTTCAAATCCTGACAGGGCTGGGAAATGGGTTCCTATAGGAAGTGCTGGAGAAGTTGGGGGTCAGAGGCATGGTGGGGAGGCCTCAGCTGGGTGGCTAACTCTGTATCCTCTCTGCAGACCGGCATGGGCTGCAGGAGCCACGGCGTGTCGAGGAGCTACAGAACCGCATTGCCAGCTGCCTGAAGGAACACGTGGCCACCGTGGCAGGAGAGCCTCAGCCAGCCAGCTGCCTGTCCCGTCTGCTGGGCAAACTGCCTGAGCTGCGGACCCTGTGCACCCAGGGCCTGCAGCGTATCTTCTACCTCAAGCTGGAGGACTTGGTGCCCCCTCCACCAATCATCGACAAGATCTTTATGGACACGCTGCCCTTCTGACCCCCACCCTGAACATGCGTGCACACGTGTGTGTCTTACACCACCCCATGTGCCTTTAGCCTACGGACCTCCAGAAACCCCCCCTAGCCTGGGCTTGAGCTGAGACTGATCACCTTGTTACTCCTGGATGTGGACAGGGATCTCAAGTCCATGGGGAGGGGCGCATTCACGGGGGTGACCCTACCATTTGTCTTATCCCCCTAGCCCAGCCCTGGCCTTCATGTTTTTTGTAAGATAAACCGTTTTTAACACATGCCACCCTGCTGTAAATAAGCTGAAGCTGTTGTAAATACAGGAAGGAAGAGGTTGAGGTGGGGGTTGGGAGGAAGGGATGGGGCCCCCACCAGCCTGGGCAAGCCTTTCCAGCCTCCGACTTGCTCTCTTCCCACCCTCCTTCCACATGTATATAACTGTCACTCGAGGAAGAAGACAAATTGACAGATTCTGATTTATATTTGTGTATTTTTTCCTGGATTTATAGTATGTGACTTTTCTGATTAATATATTTAATATATTGAATAAAAAATAGACCTGTAGCTGAAATTGAGTCTTTCTCTGGCCTCCACTGTACACCGTGCCATGATTACATAAGAAATGGCGGTAGCTCTTGGGGCTGGAGAGATGGCTCAGCGGTTAAGAGCACTGACTGCTCTTGCAGAGGACCTGGGTTCGATTCCCAGCACCCACATGGTGGCTACGAACCAACCATCCTTAACTCCAGTTCCCGGGGAATCCGAAGCCCTCTTCTGATCTCCCAGGCATTGCACGACAGGGGTGCACTCCCATACATGCAGGCAATACGTTTATACACATAAAAAAAAAATAAAAAGAAATGGCAGTAGCTCTGAACAAATCTTAAGTGCTGCCTTGAAGCTTACAGGCCTCAGCTTACTCATTTGTAGAGGCAGATCATGATGAAGCCTGCTTCATGCAGTCATTAAGCAAAACAATGGGACTAGCTTCTCTTACATCGTGTTATGTAGAACAGATGGTGTAATGCTTGCTGTGTAGCCCAGACTGGCCTTAAGCTGTCAGTCCTCCTGTCTTCACTTCCTGAGTGATGGGATTACAGATGTGTACATCACACCTGACTCTGGAACTATTTTCTAACACATGGGGAACCTCTGATGACTTTAACTGCTGGTTGATGGGTCCACAGTGGATGGCAACTCACCCAGGGATTAGATTAGTGGCAATAGACTTGCTTTAGGTCTCAGGTCTATCCCCAAGAGCTTCTAACTTGGGGTAATGACAATTTTCTGATTTGGTTTTTTTTTTTCCACATTTATTTTGGGGGAAGGGGGCAGCACACATGCCACATGGAGGTCAGAGGACAACTCGCAAGAGTTGGTTCTCTCCTTCCACAGTGTCAGTCCTAGGAATTGAATTTAGGTCATCAGGGTTGGAGGTAAGGGCTTTCATCTGCTAAGCCATCTAGCTGGACCTTTTTTATCTTTGAGGGGTCAGGTGGGAGGCTTGATTCTTGGTTTGTGTATTTGTAAAGACAGGAAAAGACCTAGCTGCATATAGAGCTTTTAGCAGAAGTGGGGATTTTTGTTTTGTTTTTAGATTTTATTTTATGTGTATGAGTATTCTGCCTGCATGTATGTAGTAAACGTACCATTGTATGTGCAATGCCCTCTTTGGGGGCCAGAAGGTGTGAGATCCCTGGAACTGGAGTTAAGGATGGTTGTTAGCAGTCATGTAAGTGCTGGGAACCGAACCCAGGTCCTCTGGAAGAACAGTAAACACTCTTAATCCGCTAAGCCATCTCTCTAGTTCCTAGAGGAGTGTTTTGATGGGTACTGAGCCTTGGCTGGGTAAAAGTAAGCCCCGGTGATTCGAATGTAAGTTTTGTTTCATCTCCATTCTCGACATCCCCCACCCTCTGCCAGTCCCAGCAACAATATTCATACAGCCGCCAGCCCTTGACTTCTTGACAGGAAGATTGTTCTAAGGCCACTACCTGTGCCCAAGTGTCCTACAAAAGTTCTCTAGCCCCTTGGCTTATCACTTGCTTGGTCAACTGGCTTCGAAGGCAGATTCTGGGGTTGGGGACATAGCTCAGTAAAGGAACACTTGCTTAGAAGCTGTAAGGTCTTGGGGGCTGGAGAGATGGCTCAGCGGTTAAGAACACTGGCTGTTCTTGCAGAAGACCTGGATTTGAATCCCAGCACCCATGTGGCAGCTAACAACTGTCCATAACTCCAGTTCCAGGGGATCCAACGGCCTCGTCTGTCCTTGGGCACTGCACAACACAAGTGTATGCAGGCAATACATGCATACACATAAAATAAAAAGAAATAAAAGAAATAAAATAAAAGATGCGAGGTCTTGAATTTGATTCTCAGCACTGGAGACTGGGAGGAAAAAGATGATTTGCTAAACATGAATCTAGACTGATGGCAACCCAAGGCCCAGAGCAGTCTGTCAAGAAGCAGCACCCAGCTACCTTCACTGTGCTTAGCACCACACTGCATTTCCTTCCAGGACCTCAGAGGAGCCCTGAAGACAGGGTCTTCACAGCTATTTCTTACCACCCTAGGCCCAGGACCCAAGTCTGCATCAGAGCTGTCTTGATGAGAGACAATGGCACTGTATATGGACGTGGGCAAAATGGGGGCTCTGCTCTAGAATCAAGACATAAGAAGTCAGGAGTGGTGGCGCACACCTTTAATCCCAGCATTTGGGAGGCAGAGGCAGGTGGATCTCTGTGAGTTTGAGGTCAGCCTGATCTACATACCGAGTTTCATGCTAGCTGGGGCTACAGGGAGATCCTGTCTCAAAAAGACAAAAAAAAAACAAAAACAAAAAACAAAAAAACAAAAACAAAAACCCCAAACCAAACCAACCAACACAAAAAAAGTGAGTGTTTCTCCGTCTCTAACCTTAGATTGAGACTCCATAAGGAGTCCCAGCCACATACTCTCACTTGGGAGCTGTGAACACAATCCGGCTTTGGGCCTTAAAGGGTCCACTAGTGGCTGAGTAGGGAGACCAGGCTTGGCATGGTGGCTACTGCTGCAGTCCTCTGGCCTTCCAAGCATGCACCCTGGTCCCAAGCACTTACCAGTCCCAAGCAAGCGTCACTAGCAACCCTGGAACCTGCCTCCATCTTCCACTGTTTCCAGAGAAACTACTTTTTCACCCAGCCTCAGTTTCCCCATCTTTTCAAAGGAGAAGTGAGTCTAATGATTGCTCTGGCGGGGAATAGAATGGTCATGGCCGATGGCCAGACTGGGTCCCTCTGACCTTGAGTCACTCTCCTCGTATCTTTAACACAGACAAATGTAAGGACAGAGGAGCCCCTGGGGAAGGCAAAAGAATTATAGAACTATATGAAAGTCCTGGGGTGTGGGTGAAGCAAACAAGAATCTTGGTTCCTATAGGGCTCTAAGCTTTCCTGTTGACTATTTCATCAACTGTCAGCCAGGTTCTTTCTACTCTAAGGAGGCAGAGGCAGGTGAGGATGAGGTTGAACCCCTGCCTCCACCTCCTTATACACTACCACAACTGGCCTCCAGCCCCAATTTTTTTTTTTTTTTTTTTTTTTTTTTTTTTTGAGACGGTTCCACAGTGTAGCCCAAGCTGGCCTCAGACTCATGGAAATCCTCCTGCCTCAGCCTCCAGAGTGCTGAGATTACAGGTATGTGCCTACATAAACATTAGCCATTCTTTTCCAAGAGGATAAGTCACTTCAGAGAAAGGAAATAACTTCCCCAGGGTCACTTGGTTTGTAAGTGGCTGAACTGGGTATGTGCAGTTTCTTGACCACTGGGTATCCCCAGCCCATACCTTGTAAATAAAAGATGCTCCACTGACAGCAACTCCTTTCCTACACTCTGGTACTTGGGGGCACAGGATGGGGGGGTAATCAGCTAATCCTGCCCTACCCTGTCCCACCCAAGGGCTGAAGCCTGAAGGCAGGCCCTTTCTTTCCATCAGCAACTGGAAGAACTGGCCTCCAAGTCTTGCTAGGGGCTGGGAGGGTGAACAAGGGGGCATTGAGCCTGGTGGGACCTCACAATGGCGGCTCTGTCCCTGCTGGCCGGGGGCTGGGCCTGTTTCCGACAGGGACAATAGTCAAAAGGCAGTGACGCCCGGCAGGACCTGGAATCCCGGGCGGGATTTTCCAAGGTCTCAAAGCCTGCTGTTTGTCCTCACAGGAGACCCAGGAAGCCTGTTTCCCTATGGCCCCCCACCCACGCTGGGCCCAGGGCCCAGAGGTCCTAGCCCCCTTCCCAGCCCTGAGGTGACTGTGATTTGGGAAGGATTCTGAGGGGGAGCACTGCAGCATCTCGTCTCTTTCTGGGCCTGGGATGGATAAGGCTTCCCCACACTTGGTCTTTGGAGACTGGGTCTCCATTATGGAGGGAAGTGGTTGAGGTCAGCTTCAATGAAGCGAAGAGTTTCTAGAAGTTACAGGCAACCATGCTGTCTTTTTAGCTGTGCTGTCCACATGGTCCACTCTGTACCCAATATGCCCTGCTTCAAGGCAGTGGCCCTGGTGCTTCAGAGAGAAGGATAAGAGAGCCTGTGAGAAGGAAGATCATTCTGTGGTCCTGGACAGTGAACAGCTGTGTAAAGGCAGGTCTGAGTTGTGTCCTGGCCAAGGGTAGTGTTGGGTACACCTCAAGTGAGAACTGACCCAGGGACTCCAGGGGGCTTCAGCTTGGAGATGTGGATAACCCCTGGCCCCTCTTCTTTAAGGAGGATAAGGATGACAGATGAGCCTCTGCCCACTTGGGCTCCAGTGTTGTTCAGGCCTGGTCCTGCAGCCCCATAACTCAGCTGACGCGCGAGTGCGTGTGTGTGTGTACCCTGCCCCCAGGATCTGGTGCTTAGCCGCAAGCCACTTCTAGCTCTATACTAGCTGTAGGCTCTCAGGGTTCTTCTCAGGCCTTTCCCTGGTCCCAGGTTTAAGGAACTTTCTGGTGAAAGCATTGGCTGGCTAGCAGGACTTTGAAACTTTAGTGCTAGTTAGAGGAAAAGGCCTCCTTGCTGTTCCTTCTGAGGACAGGAGGCCTCTTCCAGGCTCCCCAGTTGGACTTGGAGCTGGCCTGAGAGCTATGAGGTCCTGGAGCCCCTGGCCTTGGCCTCTGCCTTGCGCCTGCCTCCCCTAGGCACTTGCTTGCTCATCTTCCCTATGGCTCTGGCTCCCCTGGGCCAGGCTGGGGGGCCACTTGAGGTCTCTTCAAGGTCTGTCCCAAGTTCTGGAAATGCCCAGCCTCCATCCACTCAGGACCACAAATCAGGCTCCATGTGGCTGCAGGGGTTGGGGGTGGCAGCTGGGCCAGTGAGGGGAGGGTGTGTGTGGGGGCTTGTCCTGGTTGGTACATGCTGTGTTAGCAGGAAGTTGTGCCCAGCTGCAAGCCAGGTAGGTGGGGTGTTGACTGGCCCTGTTCATCTAGCCTGGGTCCCCAGGCTAGAAGGTTTGGGGTGACCAAGCTGGAAACCTAGATCCCATCCCAGGGTCTCAGAGAGCTGGGATACCACAGATAGATGCAAAGATGACCCCTGTCTAGCATGAAACCAGGGCCAGAAACAGTCCAAAGACAGCCCCTCATCTATCAGAGTGATGAATGATCCCCTTTGCCAAGACAGTGACAGAGAATCCTTCTCCAAGAATGACAGATATACACATGCTTCCAAAGAGACAGATAAACAGCCTTTGAGGAGACAAGGGACCATCCCTCACCAGAGAGACAGACATAGAAATAAAGCCCCATCCCCACCCCTAGCCAGACACATAGGTCTTCCTAGGGTACAGACATGTAGCCCTTGCCCCACACAAAGGGCAGATCTCCAGAAGTCCCAAGAACAGAGAGCAGGCACGAACTCCCAGCCTGATGGAGTTGGCAGGTTGCGGTGGGGAGGTGCCGCTTTCTCACGCTCTCAGTCACTTTCTCCTCCGCCCAGTCATTTCCTCTGCCATAGAGGGTGGAGGCAGGGAGTGACATCCCAGGCAGGGTGGGAGGCGGAGGAGCCCCTGCCTTGGATCCCTGGGGACAGATGTCAGAAGGGGACAGCTGGTCCCCCTGCGGCCTGGCTGGAGGGTCAGCAGACAGGGTTTTGGCTATCCAACAAGGCTGGCCACCGTCAGGAGCCCCCACCCTGACGTCAGTCCCACTCATTGTTGTTGCTGGGGCTTGAGTCATTCCCTGTGACGCTACTGGGGTCAGTTCTGAAGCGGCTGGGATGGCCTTCGGGGCCAGCTTCAGGCCTCAACACTCCCCCTGGGCACACCCCAGGATGAGGTGGGGCCATCCGAGGCCACATTCATCAGGCAAAGCTAGCTGCCTGCTTCTAAGGTCTTGGGTTGGCCTTGAAGGTCCAGTCATAGGCCTTTGCTGCATGCATGACTGAGAGTGTCCTAGTCAGTAGCCTGGCTGCCAGGTTTGGACTCTGAGAAGTTGGTTCCTTCTGTCCTGTCTGAGAGCCCCATTTCTGCCCTTGGCCCTCAGCAAGCCCTTTCTGCCAGTCTTTTCTCTTTCTTCTCCAGAAAAACATTCCCAGAGGGGTTCCCTGTAGCTCCCTTGCTTCCTGGAAGCTCCTCCTCCTGCCCATCTCCTCAAGTTGCTGTCCTGAGTCCTCTGCAGCCTCCTGGCTTTTCTGCTGGTGTCTAGTCACTTTCTACCTCCCTGAGAATGGGACTTTCGACCTCTGACCTCTTCACTCTGGTGGTTTATTATTTAGTTATTTAGTTATGGTCCTGCAGCCCCATAACTCAGCTGATGTGTGTGTGTGTGTGTGTGTGTGTGTGTGTGTGTGTGTGTTTTTTCTTGAGCCTCCCTGTAGCCCAGCTGACCTGAAACTTACTATGTAGACCAGGCTGACCTTGACCTCACAGAGACCCTCCCACCTCTGCCTCCTGAATGCTGACTAAAGACTTCGGCCACCACACCTGGGTCTTGTGTGTGTGTGTGTGTGTGTGTGTGTGTGTGTGTGTGTGACTTTTCTTGCCATGTAATCCAGGTGGCCTCATATTTACTCTGTAGCCCAGGCTGGCTCTGGACTTTTGATGCACAGAGCCTGCCGTCATCTCTTTCAGATCACTTCTTGGGGTTTCTTACCCAGGTACATCTCCTGGCTCATCTTTGTTGTAAACCTTGGAGCTCCCAGAGGGCTAGAAATGCACCTTGTTCTGCTTGTTATTAATTACATGGGTCTGATGTGTGGATAGTTATATATTTGTAGTGTGAACAATTGCATCTTTTTTTTTTTTTAAGTACTGGGAGTGAATCTAGGCCTATTAGGTAATTGCTGTACCACTGAACTATGTCCCCAGGCCTCTTTTTAGTATACATTTGATTTTGAGACAAGGTCTCCCTAACTTACCCAGGCTGGCCTTGGATTCATTCTATACTCCAGGCTGGTTTTGAACAGCTGGGTTATAGTCACGTGCTGCTAGTCCTGGCTAAAAAACTTGATCATTAGGGGTAAGGACGTAGGATGGGAGAATTCATGCCACAAAGTACCATTTTATTTGGCCAACACTGGATTATTCAGATATAAGGATGGGATCTGAGGTTTGAGTTGCCTTTGAAGAAATCAGAGAGGTCTGAGGAGCCAAGGCTTGGCCAGCATGTGAAATCAAAGAGGTGAGAGGACTCAGCCTCAATGGCAGGCAACAAAGGCTCAACAGGGAAGATGAGTTCTGGAGCAGGGAGAAGAGTGTTAGAAAGAAGACAGGCTTGGTTCAGGGCTTCATTCCAGCACTCATGAAGCTGAGGCAGGAAGTTCAATAGTTCCAGGCAGCCTTGGAAAAATGCTTCCTCAAAACCACAAAAACAATAGCTACAACAAGAACAACAAAGTGAGTAAAAACACTGGTAGAGTGAGGAATGGCCAGTTCTGCGGTCCTGGCAAGTGTCTTAGTTTGCAGGGACACAGACCCAATAGGACACATGGATACAGTCACACACATGGGAGGGGGTAGGTTTGAAAAAAAATTTATTTTTATGTGTACGAGTGTTTTGCCTACATACATGTAAGTATACCACATGTGTGCAATGCCCATGCAGGCCAGAAGAGGGCATCAGAGCCCCCTGGAACTGGAGTTATAGATGGTTGTTAGCCACCATGTGGGTGCTGGGAACCAAACCTTGGTCCTCTGCAAGAACAGTTAATATTCTTAACTGCTAAGCCATCTCTCCAGACCCAAGAGGGGTAGGTATTTATCATAAAAAATAGTCAACACCATTAGAGATGGCCCAAAATCTGATGTCAGCAACTAGAGCCAAGAGAGTCAAGGTTTTAGTTTCAGTCTGAGTGCTGCAGTATGGAGACTCAGAACAAGAAGGACTCACGTCTCAGCTCTAAAACAGTAAGTAAAGAGTTTCCTTTACAGGAGAGTGAGTTTTTGTTTTTTTTTTTAACTGTTAAAAACAATTTTATTATTTTTATTTTATGTGTATTCATGTATTGCCTGGATGTAGGTAAGTGCACCTGTGTTGTGCAATGCCTGCGGAGGTCAGAGGAGACTTTCGGATGCCCTGGGACTAGGGTTACGGACAGTTGTTAGCTGCCATGTGGGTGCTGGGATTTGAACCCGGGTCTTCTGCAAGAACAACCAGTGTTCTTAACTGCTGAGCCATCTCTCCAGCCCCTGAGTTTTTGTGTTTTATCAAGCCTTTACCTGATTGGATGAGGCTCACCACACTGGGGAGGGCCATCTACTTTACTCACTCTATCAGTTTCAAATAGTCAAACTGACCAAATGCCTGAGTGCTTTGTATCCCCGTCAAGTTGAAGTTGACACATTACAATTAATCATCACAGAAAACCAGTGCACACCACTGAGCCTCAGTTTCATCATTTGTAAACTAGGGCTAGGGAGTGTTTTCTTTTTTTCCCCCTAGCTTGAGAGGTAGAGTTGTTGAGAAGCCAGCACTGCAGGGCCTGTGGAGTAGCAGTATGGTGGCTACCAAGGCTGAATAGTGTCTTCAGGAGAGTGGCAGCAAAGGGCCTGAGACAGAGTGTGGGCTAGGGATGTACCTTGGAGCTCAGTGGTAGAGAACTCACCTAGAATGCACAGGAGCCTAGGTTCAGTCCCCAACATGCACACACGCGTGCACACACACACACACACGTGGGGGGTTGAGACCATGGGTTAGTGAGTTAGGTAGAGGTCAGTCACCCACCTCACTCATTGGCTAACTCTAGGGATAGCCCTGGTTCCTTCCCCTGCATTGGCCCAATCCTTCAGCTTTTTACCCATTTTCCCTCCTAGTATTTTCTCTGATGGCCCCCTGGGTTGATGTAGGCTCCAGAAGACTTGCTGAAGTGCAAGGCTAATGACTTTTTCTTTCTCTTTTGCCCTCCTTCATCACTCTGGGACAGAGGCAAGGACTGAACAAGAGCAGTGCCATGGCAGGGGGGTGGGAGGGACAGGGGTGAATGAGGGGGGCAAGGACAGAGAGAGGGAAGAGTTATGCAGCCAGGTTAGGAAGAACAGGTGAGAGGGGAGCCTATAGGGTGGAGCAGGTGACAGTGGTGTGCTTTTCTGACACTGGGAATCCTTCCGAAGATCAATGTGATCATCCAATGGAGAGATGCTCAGCGGTAAAGAGCATTTGTTCCTCTTGTGGAGTTTGGTTTTCAGCACCTACATGGTTGCTCACAACCTCTGTAACTCCAGTACCAGGGGATCCAAAGTTTTTGAACTCCACTGGTACCAGGCATGCATGTGGCACAGGCAAACTCTCATACAAAAAATAAAAATAAATAAATCTTTAAAAAACTAATTTATATTAAAAAGTGTTCCATTGATTTCAGACTCAATTTAGTGGTGTCCTATGATTTGAAATTGGCATGGTAGAAAATTGGCAAAGATTCCACAAATCAAAGGAGTTCCCTACCAGGCAGTGGGTGCTATACATTTATCGGTGCAATCCTGGTGGGTGGCGTGTACTGGAGAATTGTAGTGTGTGGGGAGGGTTCTGTTGGAGAAGTTAGGGAGCTTTTGTAGAGGTAAGGGGCACTGCTTTTGAATCCCAGACTCTACCATTTACTCAGTGACCTCGAGTAAGTTACTTAAGTCTCATTGTCAACTTCTCATCCACTTTGTAGGACTGATAGGTACTCATTATTGCTTTAGGAGATGATGGTGTGTTTGGCAAACAAGCATCTTTAATCCTCACGTAAACAACTCAAGAGTGCCCCCTATTGGAGGTGAGGACATGCAAGCTGTGTAAACACTAATAGAAACTGACAAAGTCCTGTGCTTATCAACAGACAACTAAACATACTTCAAGAAGTTACACAGCACGAACAACGCATTCGTAATCACAGAACACCTAGATCACAAAGGTCTTTCACATGAGCTATCTCTTGTGATTTTGCAGCAGGTCCCTGTTTATAAAGGAATTCAGAATGGGTAAGTGATGTCAGAGGAGCAACAGCAGAGCTGTTAAGACTTACAGGAACCGTCACCCGCTCGGTCACAGTAGAGCTTCAGGTGGTCCTCCTGTATGGAGATAAAGACCCTTTTTCCAGAATCTTTGTGTGGGTCCAAGATCAGTGCCCTGTTACGCACGCTGGGCCAGCTCAAGTTTTGAAATCCACTCAGCGTCGTGCAGCACACGGCCGTGCACTCAGCTCCAGGACCCTTTCTAGATGTTCGGCCTTTCATCTTGGGTTCGAGTTCAGAGCTCTCAGCGCCGGTGAGTCCTCTCACCCACGAGAGGCAACAGAGAGCACATCTGGTCCCTTTCCCTCTCGTCTCTATGGCGGAAGTGAGTTGTCCCAAGCGAAACAACAACAATCTCGCCGGTGGGAGTGAGTGGACTGATCCAAGTGAGAAGGAATCTTTCTTCTCAAGTCTTACAGTCCGAAGAACAATCAGAAAAAAATAGCACTCAAGTTACGGAGCAATACGTGGGCGGGTGTGGCTTGGGCGAGTTTCCCGACGCGGTGCGCGGCTGCAAGGGTGTCGGGCGGGGCGGAACCGGGTCGCCCCCGCTGCTGTTGCGGATGGTTCCTTCCGGTGCCGCCCTCCCAGCCCCGCGGTGTTTCCGGTCTCCGCTCCGCCCTGGCCTTGGGGTTGCTGGCCTGGCGGGAGGTCGTTGATGTAGCTGGCCGGCGGCGGATGCGCGTTCTAGGAGGGAGAGGACTGTCCTAACCGTGTGCGCGGCTCCTGAGGGAGGAGCGACGCGTCCCGACTCCCCGGACGGCTGAGCTTCGCAGGCAGCGACTCTGTGTCCCGGCGGAATTTTGTGTGGAGCCCAGTAACTTGTTTTTGCCTTTAGTCTGTCCGGGAAGACCCAGCGTCAGTGCGCAGACTTCCTGAGGGAGGAGCATTGGAGGCCGGGAGATCCCAGTCTGAACGACCCGCGCTTCAGCCTCTACGCGTAAGCTGGGGAGACAGTGGGGTTTCCTCGGCCAGCCTGACTCCAGCGGGTACCTAAGAGGGGCCTGAGGGACGAGCTTCTTCCCTGCACTCTAGCAATGTGTGTGGACAAGCCAAATACAGCCGGTGTGGGAAGGTGGCGGTGCTGGAAGGAGGGGTGGGTCCCTCAATCAGAGGGACGCAGAGGGACTAGCCTGGGACATGTACGGCTCGTTGGAGGGAGAAGTGGAAGAAAGGGTTGGATTAGAGCTGGAATCTCTAGGTGGAGAACTGCAGGATGGAGTTAACACAGACCATAGAAATGGGCAAGAAAGCCTTGGAGTCTTTGATCCAAGTGAAACGAACCCATGGATGCACCTGGATTTCAGGGTTAGGATTTAAGCCTTGAGTGGCTAACGGGTGCTAGTTTATAGTGATGGATAAAGTGTAGTTCCTTTCATCCAGGAACCGTGTCTAGTAGGAAAGGCAAGAAGAAACCTGATGGTGTAGGTATGCCTGAACTGATGGCCAGGTGAGAAGACAGCTAGTCTGATGTCTGAGCAGTCCACACACGGTTGCCTTGTGTTCAGAGTAGAGCACACTTTGGAAGTGTGCACACTTGGGAAGTGCACACTGTTCAAAGGCACATTTGGGAAGCCGAGGCAGGAGTTGGAGTCCCTCCTGGATGAAGGCCTGTCTCAAAAGACAAAAGGGGCTGGAGACATGTCTCAGCCGTTAAGAGTACTGACTGCTAATTACAGAAAACCTGGGTTTGAATCCCAGCATGCACATGGTGGCTAACAACTGTCTGTAACTCCAGTTCGAGGGGTTTGACGCCCTCTTCTGTCTTCTGTAGGCACTGCATGACATGGGTGCATTTACACACATGCAGGCACTCATACATATAAAATAAAAATAAATAAAAAAATTAAAAACTAAAAAATAAAAACACCAATAAAGCAGATATCAAAACTGAAGTTTTTTTTTTTTAAAGTCTTATTATTAAAGCTGGGTGTGGTGGTGCACACCTTTAATCCCAGCACTCCAGAGGCAGAGGCAGTCAGATCTCTTGAGTTCAAGGCCAGCCTGATCTACATTGTTCCAGGCCAGGGGGGCAACAGGGTGACCCTGTCTCAAAAAGACAAAAAAAAAGACTTAATATGTGTATGTGCGTGTCTGTGTATGTGGTTGCAAGTGCTCTCAAGCTAGACAAGGGTGTTGGGTCCCTTGGAGCTGGAGTTACAGGCAGTTGTGAGGCACCTCATGTCGGTGCTGGGAATCGAGGGTCCTCTGAAAGAGCAGCATCTGCGGAGGCTCTCTAGTTCTAAGGCAGTGTTTGAAGGACAAGATACAGATTCCTTTAGCAGAAGAAATAATTGACCTGTCAAAAGGTGAGATGAGCTGGGCGTGGTAGCATGCCTTTAATCTCAGCATTCTGGAGGAAGGCAGATCTCTGAGTTCAAGGCCAGCCTGGTCTTACATAGTGAGTTCCAGGTCAGCTGGGGCTACAAAGAGACCCTGTGTCAAAAAGACCAAAGAAAAGTTGAGATGATCTGTGTGAGGAGTTGTGACTAATCTGTCAAGGGAAGTTTGTAAATTGAGCACACAGCTATGAAACTTGAGTGTTCCCATTTCCTGTGGGCTCATATATTTACTCAGTTCTACTTCTCAGGTGTCCCCTCTCCCCCACCCCCAGTGTATCCCTGCACTGTTTCTGGGCAGTAGCAGTATAATAATGAATGTCAGAGGCTGTTTACTGAATGTGCACTGCTTTAAGTGGTTTACCCATCTCAGTGTTTGAGACAATTCTTTTAAGACTGTTACTGCCTCCCTTTTGTTTTAGGGTGTGGAAGTTGAACCCAAGGCTATATACATGTCAGGCTCTACCACTGAGCTGCACCCCTCATCTAGCCTCACCAAGTGATAATTAGCTTGGTAGAGCTAGACTTCTGATCCTGGTTGCCTGGCCTTTTGAGTTGTTTTCAATCAATACACTGCATTTTATGTGTTATCTTTTTTTTTGTCTTTTTTGGAGACAGGGTCTTTCTGTGTTTCTGGTAACCCCAGCTCGTCTGCAACTCACTATATAGACCAGGTTGGCCTGATCTCACAGAGAACTACATGCCTCTGGCTTGTGCCACCACTCCTGGCTTTATGTATTATCTTTAATCTTGGCTGCACTCCCACATTACTGGTAGAAAGTAGGCTGAGAAGCTGAATGATTTGCTTAAGTCTGAGAGGGTATTAGCTTTCTGTCCCTGTGACAAAGTATCTGGGATAAGCAACTTAAAAAGAAGGAAAACTATTTTGGTTTATGGTTTCAGTCTGTATTTGGTTGGCCTTGTTTGGGGGCTTGTGGTGTTACAGGACATTATGCTGGGGAGACATGGTAGAGCTAAAACTCTGTTCACTTTATGGCAGCCAGGAAACAGAGCAGAGATCCACCTGCCTGAGTACTAGGATTAAGGTGTATGTCACCACACCTGGCCTAATCTAACTTTTTTTTTTTTTTTTTTTTTTTTTTTTAAGACGGGGTCTCCCTGTAGCCTTAGCTGGCCTGGAACTCATTATGTAGACCAGGCTGACCTTGAACTCAAGAGATCTGCCAGCCTCTGCCTCTGAGCACTGGGATCAAAGGCATGTGCTACCATGCCTGGCCTCTGATCTAACCTGGAACTGGAGAGGTGGCTCAGTGGTTAAGTGTACTTACTGCTCTTGCAGAGGACCTAGATTTGGTTCCCAGTACCCACCATCAGGTGGCTCACAAGTGCCTGTAACGCCAGTTCCAGGGAATCTGATGCCCTCTTCTGGCCTCTGTGAGTACATGACACATAGACAAGTGTGCATATATACACACACACACACACACACACAGGAATAAAATGATTTTTTTTTTCTTTTTTTTTGGTCTTTTTGAGACAGGGTCTCCCTGTAGCCCCAGCTGTCCTGGAACTCACTATGTAGACCAGGCTGACCTTGAACTCACAGAGATCTGCCTGCCTCTGCCTCCCAAATGCTGGGATTAAAGGCGTATGCCACCATGCCTGGCTTTAAATATTTTATGTGTACAAGTGTATTGCCTGCATGTATGTGAGTGCACCCATGTCATGCAGTGCCGTGGAGGTCAGAAGAGGGCTTTGGATTCCCCTGAAACTGGAGTTAAGGATGGTTTGTAGCCACCATGTGGGTGCTGGGAATCGAACCCGGGTCCTCTGCAAGAGCAGTCAGTGCTTTTAACCACTGAGCCATCTCTCCAGCCCCCAAAACAATGATTTTTGTTTTGTTTTGTTTTTTTTTGGTCTTTTTGAGACAGGGTATCCCTATAGCCCCAGCTGTCCTGGAACTCACTAAGTAGACCAGGCTGGCCTTGAACTCACAGAGATCTGCCTGCCTCTGCCTCCCAAGTGCTGGGATTAAAGGCGTGCGCCATCACGCCTGGCAGTGATTTTTTTTTTTTTTAAAAAAAGATCCAAACCATAGCTCACAGCAAGGTATAGGAGAGCCAGGCTCAATGTTGATAGTCCCAGATACCTAGGAGGTGGAGGCAGAAAGTCCAGGAAAAGACTCAAAGACTTGAGTCTAGGAGTTGAAGCCTGGGAAACAGACCTTGTCTCTTAAAAAACCCAAAAAAACCTTGGACTGGAGAGAGAGCTCAGCACTTAAGAGCAGTAACTGCTCATTCAGAGGATCCAACATTCTCTTCTGGCCTCCATGGGTACTGCATGACATGGTGCACTTATATATTTGCAGGCAGAACATTCATGCACATAAAATATAAATAAATAAACCTAAAAAGGTAGGATGGCTGGTTTTGGGTATCAAAACCCAGGACTATTGGACACAAACACTCCCACACTCCATACTTGAGCGCCCCATAGCTTGTTGCACTTCTGGTTGGTCTCAGTGCCCAGCTTTACTATATTAAATGTGTGTATTTTTACACTGAGTCTAGATGGCTCTGGAAATGTGCAGATTTTGTATGTGTGTCATTTGGGTTTTATTTATCTTTATGAGTATATTGCCTGCATGTAGGTAGGCACACCTGTGTTGTGCAGTGCCTACAGAGTCACAAGAGGGCGTCCGATTCCCCTGGAACTGGAGTTACAGATGGTTGTTAGCTGCTAGTGGGTTCTGGGAATCGAACCTGGGTCCTCTGCAAGAGCATCCAGTGCTCTTAACCATTGAGCCATTTCTCCAGCCCTGTCACTTGAGTTTTAGCCCAGCCTTCCTAGCTTTTGTTAACTTTTCAGATTGGTTTTTGACATCAAAGTAGTCGGGAGTAGTTGTGTGTTCTTCAGCCAGAACTAACTTTCTGATGCAGGGGTTTGAGGTTGGTACAGGAGTACAGTGTGATGTTGCCCTCTGGCAGAGGTCAGATGCCTTAATGAGGTCATTAAGGTCACAGGAAATCTCCAGTCTTTCTGTACTCCCACTTGGTGTTCTTGCTTCTGTGAAACTATTCCCCCGTCTGCCTTTCTGCAGTCCCAAAGCTCCCAGGGCCAGAGCTGTACTTGTCTTTTCTTGGTGGTTCCGGCCAAGTGTGGTACAGTGAGTCTTGGCTAAACTGAATGCCATAAATGGGAAGCAAGCCTCCATTTGTGCTTGGACTGGTAATCTTGAGGCTCTGTCCCTTGCTGATCTCAAGGGTCTGTGAGTCTCATAAAACGTGCTGTTAAAATGCAGAGAAGGGCTAGTGGAGGCAGGGGCTAAACCCAGTTGTGCAGGAAGTAGACAGGACCTTGTAGATGACCTGACCTGGCTCTCCTTGTAGGCCTTGTCTCCAGCCCTGGCTGCAAGATGAACTGTCGCTCTGAGGTGCTGGAGGTGTCAGTGGAGGGGCGGCAGGTGGAGGAGGCCATGCTGGCTGTGCTTCACACAGTGCTTCTGCACCGCAGCACAGGCAAGTTCCACTACAAGAAGGAAGGCACTTACTCCATTGGCACTGTGGGCATCCAGGATGTCGACTGTGACTTTATTGATTTCACCTATGTTCGTGTCTCCTCTGAGGAGCTGGACCGGGCCCTACGCAAGGTTGTTGGGGAATTCAAGGTAGGTGAATAGCCCAGTTGATAGTTTTCAGGCCTGGAATATGTGTCCCTCCACCCTGGCTGTGTGGTAGACCAGTTTATTCTTCCAAAGGGCAGGGGTCAGATCTTTAAAGCTCTAAGGAAGCGGTGATTGAACACTCCTCCAGAGAGGTGAGCTCTGTGTCTTTGATGGGGGTTGGCTGTTCCTATAAGTCCCTAGGAGGAAGGGTGAGTTGGAAACCCACCAGCCCCTGCATAAGCAGTGAGGCCCCTGGGGACGGTCACTGCTTCACAGCTAATAGAGTCTGGTACTGCCTAGTGCTCCTCTGTGCTTTTGCATCTCTTCCTCTTGAAGTCTGGGCTTTTCCTATCTGAAACCCCCTGAGAGAGAAGAGCGCTTGACTTAGCGGCTTCTACCCAAATGTGGAGTCCCTTTGGGCGCTGTGACCTGTGCTTGTACATGCCTGTGTGGGCAGAGAGATGGGTAACAGACACACCAGGCTTGCTCATGTTGGTCACCTCTGGTGGTGGGAATGCCAATATGGGTTTTTAATTATTTTTTAATGTAAAAAATAATGGGTTTCGTTATGACATTTTCATATATATATCTTTGTACCTTGCTCTTATATCTCCTCTTGCTGCTCTTTCCTTTGGTCACCTCTGGTGGTGGGAATGCCAATATGGGTTTTTAATTATTTTTTAATGTAAAAAATAATGGGTTTCGTTATGACATTTTCATATATATATATCTTTGTACCTTGCTCTTATATCTCCTCTTGCTGCTCTTTCCTTCCCAAATGATGTCCTCCCTTTCATACAATAACCCCCTCCCCTTTTAATCTAGATTCCACATGTGAGAGAAGATGAGATATTTTGTCTTTTTTCTCCTGCATTTTCCTGTCCCTCCCTCTCTGGCAATGTGGCTTTTAATTTTGTCTTTTTTGAGAAGTCACAGGGTTTCATTTTTTCAATGACTGGGCACTTTAAAATTTTGAAGTATGAAAGAGAAGTTGTGTCTCAGCCCACCTCCCTTATTCGTCTGTTCCCTGAGCCTGTCTACTCCTGGGTGCTGTGTGCTCATTGCGGGGTGCCTAGTGTCATGTGGCGATGTCCTCTTAGGCCACGGCACTGCACCCTCACCTTCTCCTTGTACGCTTGTCTAGTCACTCTGAAACAGCAGTACTGTTCGTAGTGAAAAGTGGTTACAAACAAGTCTGACCTTGGGTAGTTGACTTTATTTTAGGTGAACTTGGAGCGAAAATCCTACCTGCCTCATTGAGTTTGTGTACCACAAGGATTAAATGATCAAGATGTACCCAGTGTTTAGAACAGAGTCTAGTAGTAAGCATTAATAGAATGACTAAGCCATTGTCATCATCAGTTAGGGTTGTGTGACCCGTTTGTCTTTGGAGGAGTAACTGTACCCACCTGGGGCATCTTTACCCTCTGGTTGACACTAACTTGGATAGAGAGGTGCTCAGTGGCCCAGCCCAGCCTGGAGGAATAGCCCATAGGGCAGGATAGGTGGAATTATTGGGTGGTTCGTTCCATTCCGTGTGCTTCTCAGAGGAGAACAAACAAGCTGTCAGGTCTGGTTTGTCCTTCACTTCCCTTACGCTGTCCCTTGCATTCCGCATTTCTAAGCGGGCCTTTCTAAGAATTCACAGTCACTCCTCCGGCTTTTTTTAAAAAAAGAAACTGAGTTTGGGTTGTCATGAAGTGGAGGTAGGAAAAGCAAATAGGATTTATCTGGGGAGGTGTTGGAGAATTTGTGTGTTTGTTTGTGTCAGTGTGTGCCATATCTGTGCAGTGTCTGCAGAGGCCAGAAGACAGCATGGAATCCCATGGAATTGGAGTTGCAGGCAGTTGTGAGCTGCATGGTGTGGGTGCCGGGTTCCAAACCTGGTTCTTAAGAAGAACAGCAAGCGTTTCTGAAATGTTGTGCTGTGTCTCCAGCCCCTGGGGAATGTTTTGAGGTTAGGGACCCAAGAGTGGGGTTGTAGAAAGAGGAGGCCCTTAATATGAAGGTGAAATGAAAGAATGTTTGGACAACCTGGTATGTGGCACTGGCAAATGATTTTTTTTTTTGGTCTTTTTGAGACAGGGTCTCCTGGTAACTCTATCTGGCCTGGAACTCACTATGTAGACCAGGTGAGCTTTGAACTCACAGAGTCTGTGAGTCTGTCTGCCTCTGCCTCCTGAGTGCTGGGATTAAAGGCTTGTGCCACCACACCTGGCTATGATTTTTTAAAATATTTTATCATTTTTATTTTATGTGTATGAATGCATTGCCTACATTCAAGCCCTGGCAAATGATTTTTTTAAAAATTGTCTATGTGGGGACTGGAGAGATGGCTCAATGGTTGAGAGCACTGATTGCTCTTGCAGAGGACCTGGGTTCAATTCCCAGCACCCACATGGTGGCTACAAACCGTCTGTAACTCCAGTTCAGGGGATCCAATGGCCTCTTCTGTCCTCTCGGGCATTGCAGAACATGGGGCACTTACCTACATGCAGGCAATACATACACATAAAATTAATAAAAATTTTTTTTAATTAAAAAATAATTTAAAAAATGTGTGTAGGTGTAGATGTGTGTGTTTCTGTACATGTATGTGGAGATTAGAAGATAGCCTTGGGTGTCATCCTTTGAGACAGGGTCTCTCATTGGCCTGGAACTCATAAATTAGGCTAGACTAGCCGACCACTGAGCCCCAGGGATCCTCTTGTCCCTGTCTCCCCAGCACTAGGATTATAAGTATCCGCCACCATACCCAGCATTTTTATGTGGTTTCTGGGGGTCAAACTCAAGCACTTTACTAAGCTATTTCCACAGCCCATAAGATCGTTCTTCCATGAGCCTCATTTTGCCTCCGTAAAATGAAGATAATCTGCCTGCCTCCTGAGGTTGTTCAGAGGAACTGGTAAAGTTCCTCACACCAGAGTAAATGCCTCTGGACCACAGTAAGTTTTAAACATTAGTCCTCATTTTAAAAAAAATTGCTTTTATTTTATGTGCGTGTTTTGCTGCATGTTGTTACCCGTGCATGCAGTGCCTGTAGAGGCCAGAAGAGGGTGTCAGATCCCTTGAAACTAGAGTTAACAGACAGTTGTTAGCCGCCATGTGGGTGCTGGGAATTGAACCTGGGTATTCTGCAAGAGCAGCCAGTGCTCTTAACCACTAAATCATCTCTTTAGCCTCTCCTTACCCCTCCCACACACTGCCTTTATTTTTATTTTATTTTATATTTTTTTGGTGTTTTTGAGACAGGTCTCCCTGTAGCCCCAGCTGTCCTGGAACTCACTATGTAGACCAGGCTGGCCTTGAACTCACAGAGATCCGCCTGCCTCTGCCTCCCGAGTGCTGGGATTAAAGGCGTAAGCCACCATGCCTGGCTTATTTTTATTTTTTAAAAGTCAGGGTCGTGGGGTTGGGGATTTAGCCTAGCAAGAGCAAGGCCCTGGGTTCGGTCCTCAGCTCTGAAAAAAAAAAGTAAAAGTCAGGGTCTTGGGACTGGGGAGATGGCTCAGTGGTTAAGAGCACTGGCTGCTCTTGCAAAGGACCAGGTTTGATTCCCAGCACCCACATGGTGACTGACAATCGTCTGTCACTCCAGTTCCAAGAGTAGTTCTAGTTCCAGTGCCCTTTTCTATACTCTGAGGACACCACATGACACAGGTGCATTTACATACATGCAGGTATAATACTCATACACATAAAATAAAAATAAGTTTAAAAAAAAGCAAACTGAAAAATGTCAGGGTCTCAATTTGTAGCCTAGGCTGGCTTTGACCTTGCTGTGTAACCCAGGCAGAGCTTGAACTCCCCATTTTCCTGCCTCAGCCTCCTTCCCCAGTGCTGGGATTATAGGTGTATACTACCTGGCTATAACACAATACCACTTTTATTTACTTGTTTATTATGTATGTGTGTGTACATACATGCACATGTGTCTGTACCACAGCTCAAACTTGATAGTTAGCAACGCCCTTCTTAACAAAGCTGGAGTTGGGTGTTAGTTTGCTTGAACCAGTTTTAGGCTGGTGGTTTGCAGTGTCACCTCACACAGATCTTTTACCCACTTTGGGTTTCATTCCCTGCCTTATCTAAAAGAATGATAGTGGTAGAGAGTGTAATTTCCCAGCCATGGGAAGCAGGCCTCACAGAATAATTGCATGCTTCAAAGGCTGTGATCCGCTCATTTGTTACTCCTTCCCCAGGATGCACTGCGGAACTCAGGTGGTGATGGACTGGGCCAGATATCCTTGGAGTTTTATCAGAAGAAGAAGTCTCGCTGGCCTTTCTCAGATGAGTGTATCCCTTGGGAGGTGTGGACAGTCAAAGTACACGTGGTAGCTCTGGCCACAGAGCAGGAGCGGCAGATCTGCCGGGAGAAGGTGGGCGAGAAGCTCTGTGAGAAGATCATCAACATTGTGGAGGTGATGAACCGGCACGAGTACCTGCCCAAGATGCCCACGCAATCCGAGGTGGACAATGTGTTTGACACAAGCTTGCGGGATGTGCAGCCCTACCTCTACAAGATCTCCTTTCAGATCACTGATGCCCTGGGCACCTCAGTCACTACCACCATGCGTAGACTTATCAAAGACACCCTTGCACTGTAGGCCTTGTAGGAGAGGACCTTTGGAACTCCTTGATAGCTCTGGGAATTTGTACTGTTGGGCTCTTGGGGCTGTGGAACCTGCTCTAGGTGCTTGGTGAGACTTGGAAGAGACAGCCTTTGGTGTCCTTGTGGTTGCCAGCCTCTGCAGCTCCCTGTAACCTTTGTTGGTGGTCAGGTCCTGCATACAGGCTCTCTACACCACTGATGGGGTTCCCCTTCTATCTACACTGTACAGATCTACCATAGGGGTAGCAAATAAAGTTGCAACATGAGTTTGGGCTTAACTGTCTTGGCCTGTAACTTGCCCTGAAACAAGAATACTTTCTGGCACTCTTGTTAGGACACAGGGGTCTGTTGAGGGCTTTACTTCAAGCTGAGAGGAGGTGTGGGTTGATGGGATTACATATAGATTAAAACTAAGCAGAGTGGGCGCTGGAGAGATGGCTCAGTAGTTAGGAGCACTGGTTTTTCTTGCAGAAGACCCAGGTTCGAATCCCAGCATCCACATGGCATCTAACAACTGCCTGTAGCTCCAGTTCCAGGGGATCCAACAGCCTCTTCTGTCCTCCAAAGGCACTGCACGACATGGGTGCATGTACCTACATGCAGGCAATACACGCATACACATAAAATAAAAGTATTAAAAAAATAACTAAGCAGAGTGCACACCTTTAATCCCACCACTCCCAGGGAGAGTTGGAACAGCCTGGTCTACATAGTGAATTCCAGGCCAGCTAGGGCTACAGGAAGGTCTAAAAAGACCCCCCCAAAAAAAAAAATTAAAACTGATGGAGCTTATACTTTTTCCACATTCATGATATGTGTGCTAACCCAGGTGTGACCATGACTAGTCCCATGGATGAGCACCCAGGGTGAGTGTTGCTTTTGGATTGAATTTAGCTATTTATTCTCCCTAAGGAAGCTGTGACATGTCCTGGCCTTTGTCTAGCTTTGATTCCTGGTGGCCCCAAGGATTATCTTTGTAGCACATACAGAAAAATCATTTAACTTGGGATCTCTAAGGAGAGATTGGCCAGCTTGAGATTGTAGTGTCTTAGGACATTTCCTCCAGGTTGACTGCCGTCACTGATTGTTAGAGTGTTGCTTAGATAACACTTTTTTTTTTCAAATATAAGCCATTTTTATTTGTTGATTTTTTTTTTTTTTGGTGTGTGTATATCATACAGAACATTCCAAACAATTATACCCACTTCCCAGAGGAAACATTTCCTCCATGCTTCCAAGCGAAGCCAGCCATGGCCAAGTGGGACCTTTGACTTATCTTCACATAGACAGAACTGGTAAAAGAAAGGAGCCAGGGGCTCCTCCCAAGCCCATGTGACCCCTGAGGAACAGATCCTCAAACGGCCTTAAGAGTAAAAATAAATTGGTTTATCTGGGCCAATTGTAGGGTCTTAAATACCCAAAAGGAAAGTATAACCAAAGATTAAAGGGGTCAATATAATTTTTTAAGAGTCCATATGTATAGCTAAAGGCTATATAACAAAGAACAGGAGATACCTTCCTTTGAGTTATGGCCAAGGAGGCCCAAAAGACACCCAGGTAGTAACCCTGCATAGGACTGGGAAAATGATCAGCGGACCCCAATCTTACCTAAAGGAATCTAGAGACACCCAGGTAGTAACCCAGCATAGAACTGGGAAAATGATCAGCGGACCCCAATCTTACTTAAAGGAATCTAGATAACACTCATTTTTACACATACATACTCAAAATCTCTGCTACACTTGTTGATTTATTCCATATTTTGCAGCAGTGCTTTTGGCTATATCTTGGGAAAATGGGATGTCTTTGAGTTCCACTGAGACTCTCCCCTCAGGTGAGCTTTTGGGGCTTTTTGTTTTTAAGATCAAGTCTCTAGCCCCAGCTAGAACTCACTTATGTAGACCAAGTATGCATCGGTTTCAGAGATTCCCCTGCCTCTGCCTCCTGAGTGCTGGGATTAAAGGTTTGTGCTATGATGCCCAGCTCAGGAGAACTTTTTAAAAAGTTTAGTGTGTATGAGTGTTTTGCCTACATGTATGTAAGTGTACCACATGTGTGCCCGGTGCCCAGGGAGGCCAGAAGAGGGCACTGGATGCCCTAGAACTGAAGTTACTAATTGGTGTTAACTGCCATGTGGGTGCTGGGAACAGAACCTGGGTCCTATACAAGAGTAAATGCTGTTAACTCCTGAGCCATCTCTCCAGTCCCCCATCTGGGGTGTTCTACTGAATGAGCTGCCTACAAGGAACTGTCTAAGGGAGAATGGGTGGGGGTCTTGTTTGTGGTCTTGTGTTTTTTCTGGTTGTTACTGCTAGTGTCCTTGTCTCTGTGCCCTGGAGGATGGACTCCCAGGAGGGCTTGGAGATGGAGACGGCTCTTTCCCAGCAAATCCCCCTGGCATGCTGTAGCCTGGGGTCTGCCCAGTTTTTCTTCTAAGGAATTGACTGATACAGAGTTATCAGATGTGATTTTTTTCTTTTTTTTGAGACGTCTCACTGTATGACCCAGGCTGGCTTTGAACTCACTATGTAGACTAGGCTGACCTTTGCCGCCTAAGTACTGGGATTAAAGTTGTATGTCACCATGCCCAGCTTGACCTTGAATTTCTGATCTTTTTAATTTTTATTTTTTTGGTCTTTTTTTTGAAACAGGGTCTCTCTGTAGCCCCAGCTGGCCTGGAACTCACAGAGATTTGCCAGCCAGACTCCTGAGTGCTGGGATTAAAGATGTGTACCACCATGTCCGGCTGATCTACTTCTAATTGCTGGGATTACAGTCATCTGCCACCACATCCTGTTTTATGCAGTGCTGGGGATCAAGCCCAGAGTTTCCATGTACTCTACCAACTGAACTATGCCCCCAGCCCTTCACAATGATTTTACTTGAAAAGTGGACTTGAAGTTTGCAGGATTTTCCAGGAGACCTGGGTCTTCTTTTCTGCAACTAGATATACTCTACTGTCCCACCCTGGCTGGATTGTGTGACACCTAGTTGGCAGTGGGCTGTTTGGTAGATAACAGGTCAGAAATGCTCCCATCCTTTTGGCATTGTGATTCCCCTGAGGTAGGGGATTGTGGCTCAGATCTCTGCTCTCTCCCTTTAAGACACATTGGCCAAGAAGATGGGAGCAAAGGAATGGGGGTAGGCCTTGCCATCTGGGTTCCTTGTACCCTCATTTTGCCCTGGGGTCTGGAGGAGGCCTCATGTCTGCTTGTCTGTTTCGAGACCGGTTTGCATCAGACCCTTAAGGCCGCCCGTTTGACTGGTGTCCCTGTGGGCTAGAAGTGTTGGAACTCCAGTTTAGGGAGAGAAAACCCATTTGTCCTGTGACCTAAGTGGGCAGCACCTGGGATATGGGGGTCTGAGGTTCTTTTCAGAGCTGTGAAAGGCCTGGAGAGGTGCTGAATCTTGGCCTTTTTTTTTCCAAAGGAGGAAAGCCTTGGGGCAGGGCCCTTTGGCTTCACTTTGGTGATTGCCAGGACATGGAGTCCGGGACAAATAGGCTAGGTCTAGGAATCTGAGAAGAACCTATAGTCCACCCTCTGTCTAGGAGGGGCCTCAGCTCTTGTTCTGTAAGGAGCAGGGCGGTAGGGCCCCTGAAGGCCCGCCCCTTGAATCCCTCCGACTGGAGGCCCCAGCTCTCACATCTGGCTGGGTAACCCGCACATCTGGGCAGCCCAGTGGGAGAATGAACAGCTCACAGGTGGTCGCTGCGGCCAGATCCACGTGGCCGAGTTGCTGCAACCAGTCTGGGGTGCCATTCCAACCCCAGGAGGGGCCACCCATGGTGCAGGCGGTGGTGCTGGGCGTGCTTTCGCTGCTGGTGCTCTGCGGGGTCCTGTTCCTGGGTGGCGGCCTCCTCCTCCGCGCCCAGGGTCTAATAACAGTGCTGGCCCGTGAAAGGCGCTCATCCCACGAGGTTGAGCCTGATGCCAGTGGAGGGTTTGATGACTCCTAGGTACCCACCTGCTCTTGGGTGGTTCAGTGTCCTCTGCCGCCAAGAGCCCCCGGCCGCGGCGGCTGCTGCTGCTGCTGTTGCTGCTGCTGCTGCTGCTGCTGTTGCTGTTGCTGCTGTTGCTGCTGTCGCCGGAACCTCCCACAAGCTCTTATACCCTGAAAAGGTGAGGGTCAGGTTACAGGGAGAATGGGGGTATGGTGAGCACAGTGATGACCTTTACTCTCTACAAGAACATATTTCTGTGTGTGGCCAGACCATTGAAGAATCAGCTCTTCAGCAAGATTAATTCCCCCTCTTTAAGTCCAGGAGGGGGTGTGGCCAGGTGCCCTGGGCCTCTTGTCTGAATTGTCTCTCCCATCCCTTTTGTCCTTTAGACACAGACAACCATGCCCCAGATACATAAACGAGGAGTTCTGGAGGGGCCTTTACTAGTACCCATGGCTTTCCTCACCTCTGCACCTGCCCAGGTGCACCAGGTACCAAGTCAATGCTTGGGCTCAGCAGGACCCTTTGTACTGGGGTCTAAAATATACCCAAAGCTATTGGTGAGCCTTGGGCTCTTTTCTTCCTAAAGCCTTTTTTTCCTGCAAGGGTGAACACAGGCTAAGGCCAAGGAGAGGGTGTGGGTAGATGGAAGAAGATTCCTCCCGGTGCCCCCTTGAGGTGTACCTGGTTGTTTGGGTGAGTTTTGGGGTTAGAGGGGTATGCTAAGCCCCCCACCCCCCATCCATCTCAGGACTGGGGAACAGCTTTATCTGGGAACTGGGAGCTTTATGTGCTGTGGGGAAATGGGATGTGATGGCAAGGTTCCCAGCAGCTGGGGGGCCTTGGAAGCAGTTGCTCCAGGAAGTGGGACTGAGGATTCCCAGCTGTGGGGGCTGTCTTTGGGTCTCCTGCCTCTTTCTCTAAGGACAAGAACCATCTGGAGAGAAGGGCCTCAGTGACCCAAAGGACAAAGTAACTCCAGGCCAAGGCCACCTTTGCTCAGTCATGGGCTGGGGCATGGAATTGGGGTGTCTTTACTGTCTCACCTGTTTAGCTATGTGGGTAGGAGGGACTCCTAGGGGCTTCAGTGAGTGGCTTTTGTTGGCAACTCTGCCTTCTCTTGTCCCTCCCACTCCAGAGTCCCACCCTGCTTTCCTAGTTACCCTCCCAGAAAGCAACGGTGCAGAGTGCCTGTAAGGAGGCCTGTGAGGGGCTGTGTAAGGAGGCAGGTGTGAAGCCAATGTGTGATCCCTGCTGAGCAGCTCAGGTTAGGCTTGATTTGGCAGCCATCCTGGGCAGCTGTACCACACTATCCTTGGGAGCAACTAGTTTCTCACTTCAGAGAAGCCACCCCAACCCCTTGGAGAAAGGGCAGTCCAGGGGAGTGAGGATATGTGTGTGTGTGTGTGTGTGTGTGCTCCTGGCACTAGGTCTGTGGGCAGTGCCCAAGGAACTTTCTCCACCTCACCTTCCTGATCTTGGGAGGGGGAGTACTTCCTGTTGTACTCAGTTTCTCCCAACCAGATACATTCTGCCCCCACCCCCTGCTCCTTTCTGCACGGTGCTCTCCTCTTTCCTCAGTGGGATAGAGGGTCTCCAGATTCCTGTGAATCCCTTCATGTACAAATGGAGATCAGAGAACTCGGAGAAAAGGTGAAACTCAGAGCAAGTGACATGTTCAAGTGGCAGAGCTGGAACTGGACTCTGGGGCTTCTGGCTCTAAGCTCTGTTCCCCTGTGTTCCTCCTCCTTTCCCTGCTTCCCTACCACCCTGAGATGCTGATGAAAAACGGCCTCTCTCCCTCCAAAAAGGCACCCGGTGGCATTCAGCTTGAGTCAAGGACTTGAACCCAAGCCCCAATGTTACAGCTCCCTCTTGTCCCTACTTCCTAAGTGGCTTTGCCAGATACTTTCTTGCTTCTAGAACAATCTTCCAGATACCAGGCATCAGCTCCTCACCAGCTTTTCTGACCTGAACCTGAGGAGTTGGGGAGGGGCTCAGAGGGCTATTAGAGTAAACATGAATGAGAACGATCTAAGCAGTCAGAGCACGGACTAGAACTGAAGAGGTGGCTATTGGACTTAAGTCCCTGCAGTCTTAAGGATGTAGGAAGTCATGATTGGGTGGCAGGAAAAGCTGTGTCCCCAGCATCATCAAGTCTGCTTACACTCAGGACAGAGACAGCTGGGATGAGAGTGGGTAGGCAAAGGCTTTCTTCATCCAACTTCCTGCCTTTGATGTCCCTTGAGCTCAGTGTTTGGAACGGGTATGGGGTGTGCTGGGGACCTCAGTGTTCCCAGGGGGAGATACTGAGATATCTGCTGTGAAACTTTGGCCCTGGTCAAGGCTGTCAGGCTGAGTAGGAAGGAAAGGAATTTGGAAAATTGAGTGTGTGTGTGTGTGGGGGGGATTCTGTTTGGGGATTCTGTCGCCTCCTTTCAGGAAGGGAGAGAGGTGGGGGCTGGGTGCAGGTCTGAGGGACAGAGAAGTGGCATCTGGGTTCCCAGTGAGCTCTGTTAGCCTGTGCTGTTCTTAGGGGACAGGCTGGGGTGATGGATGGGCTGAGATCCTGCTGTCCTTCATCCTGAGTTCATCCTGTGTTGGAACCAGTTGCCAGGGGTTATTTGATCTCCTCAGCGTCCAACTGTCCAGTGCTCTCCAGCCAAAATAGGGGCACCATCTCTTACAGATTGCAGAGCTGTGTGCCTCCTGGAGAGGTCTCCCTCCAGCTACCACTGCATGAGGAACCCGTCAGCTTTGTCCCATTTGTGTTGTAGGCAATGAACTGAAGACGACACCGGGTCTGTGGTGCTTCTCATCCTGGGATCCTGATGCCCAGTGCTGCCTCTGAGCTCCTCTCCGTCACGTCTTGAAGGACTCCTGGGGTGGGCCTGGGAGGAACTAGTGAGTGTCCTAGGTGACCGCTGTGCCCGGACATTGAAGTGGCCTTACGTACATTCAGGAGACACTGGTGTGCCCTTGGCCCACCAGGACTCTGTGGACATGAGGGCAGCTTGTCCTGCTTGGTTCCAGGTAGCAGTGATCTGACAGGTCAGTGACCTGTTGCTGCTGAGGACATGGGTTAGTGTCACCCATTTGGAGAGTGCTCCAGCCATCCAGCAAAGCAACAACACTTTTCATGACTTGCTATTAAATAGCCCAGTAATACAAGTTTCTGGTGTGCAGGCCTCTTTTAGCCCTTGACTCTTGGAATCCCTGGTTTATTTCCTCACTCCCCTCCAGTTTGGCCTGCTACTAGTAGATATTGAAATAGTAGTCCCGGCCATGCCCCCCACCCCCATCCCTTTCCTCTTTCCTTTCGGTCCAAGTCTTGCTTTTGTGCCTTTCTGCCCCAAGACTGTCTTGCTATATAGCCCAAGCTAGCCTGAATCTCATTGTGTACAATAGGGACATGAACTCACCAGCCTCCAGACAGTTGCCACTACAAGCTGTTTAGATCCAAGACTTTTTGAGGGTGGATTGATGTGGCCAGAGTAACTCTCATGCTAGCCACCCTCGTGTGGCCGGGATGGTCAAGAGCACTGCTGTATTCAATGAGAGCTGGGGTCTACTTACCTCCCCATTGAGAGTGGATTTTGTGAATTTGCGCAGTGAGTTCCAGACAGCAAACCTTCCAGAATCTCAGTCCATTCCCTAATTCATGAAATAGAAGTGATGTCATTGTCAGGACTGAGGATCTTATGGATAATGTGATTGCCCATCCACACAAGGTTTTACGTACTACAGTTATCATGGAGCACTGTTTTCCCTGAACCTGACCATTCTCAGAAGGGAATAGACTAGGGAGAGGGAATGGAGGGGAGGGAAGGGGAAAGGAGGGGAGGGGAGGGGAAGGGAGGGGAAGGGAGGGGATGGGCGGAAAGAAACCGTCCAGTGGGTTCCTAGGGACACTTGCTTTCTTTGTCCCTTCCATGAGTACTTCCCAAGTGAGTGCTCTGTTCTGGTATGTGGTGTGCTCTGAGAACTGGGAAGGAGAGACAAATGAGACATCTCTGCCCCAAGGCACTCTTAGTCTGATGGAGAGTGGGACCCAGAGACTGAAGTTAAAGTAGACAAACTGTGCCCAAGTGGAGAGAGCCAAGGGTGGACAGGTCCTCAGCTAGGGAGCTGCTGAAAGCTACTTCATGGTTGTGGTGTTTAATGAATGGTCTTCACCTGGCAGGAGTGTGAACCACCCAGGCAGGGGGTTTTCAGAGGGCAAGGAGACTTGGAGGCTTTCACTTGGAAGGTGGCATGGTGAGAGCTGGATCTCAGTGACTGGGATACTTTGGAGGGTTAAGGCAGCTGGACATAAAAGGATAGCAAGGAGGTAATTGTCCAGCCAGAATGGCAGCGGCCAGAGCTTGGGATGCAGGCTTTGCTCAGTAGCTGCATGTGAGGGATGAAGCAGAGGCAGAAGAGGCGGATGATGTTCTGGTTCTGGTCGGAACAACTGAGTGGGTGTGATGCCTCTCACTGAGATCAGTTATCAGGATTTTTGGGTCTGAATTTGTAGAAAACATAAAGTATTTTGCTTATGCAGAAGAACATTTCTTGGCCCATATAAGTGAAAAGTCTGAGTGGTCAGTCTGGCCTCAGGCCTGGCAGGATTCAGGGCCCAAACTGTGAACTTGCTTACATTTCTCCTTTGAGTGAGCTTCTCCAGTGGAGTGGTCAGTCTGGCCTCAGGCCTGGCAGGATTCAGGGCCCAAACTGTGAAAGCTTGCTTACATTTCTCCTTTCCTTAGCTTCTGTCCTCAGCTCACTTCTGCCAGCGTCTGGGTCAGCTTCAGACAGTGTAGCCTAGTGCTCAAGAGCACTGATGGGCCACAATGCCTGTGTTTGCATTCTCGTAGCACATATGGGATCTGACCAGGTGCCTGGCTTCTCCCTGTGCCTCAGTTCCTTCATCTTCAGACCAAGGAAAACAGCATGTGGCTTATGCCATTTTTTTGTTACGACAAAAGGAAGTTCATACATATAAGGTATGACTTCACATGGGTGCTGTCTCCACA